CCAAGCACCAGCAGCAGCACCAGCAGCAGCAGCAGCCTCTTAGCGTGGTGGACCGCCACAGGCGGAGCGGAGGGAGGGAGGAGCGAGGAGAGAGCAGGGAAAGGGGAAAAGACGATCAGTCGCGGTGTCGGCCGGATTGAGATACGTTGTGAAAGGGGTATGGGTGGGAGGGTGGGTGGGAGTATCAGAATGACAAAGGCACAGATTAAAAGTGGATGCAAGGAGGGAGAGTGGCAGAAAGAAGGAAAGAGGATGGACAGAAAGAGGGGACATAGATGAGGATGGATGAAGGATCTGATGATGATGATAGATGGAATGAAGGTAGATGAGGCAGGGGTGCTGCAGGGTCGTGCCGGCATTGGCGGTACTCCTAGGACTCTCGCACCAACGCAAATGGCGAGCAGACAGTGATGGGGGAGATGGGACAGGTTAGTGGGAGGACAATTTTTTGTGAAAATGCCTACTGAACACCGTCGGTCAAGGGGATGATAAAGTCCAGGAAGCAGTGTTCTTTTGGGCCCCACGCAAAGAAAAGAAGTTAAGGATCGTCTACGCGAATTTGACATTAAAGGAGTGAGTAGAAAGGATATTACCAGCTTCGAGAGAGAGAGGGGACTGAGAGCGGGACACCATCGGTTTTTACAGTGTCGATTTCAGAAGACATTGTTATAAACTAGTTTGTTAAACTTTATGGGAGTAGTTTTTCGCTGCAGTTCCAGGCAGCCGCGGTTTCCATTCAATCTGTACGATATAAAAATCAACTAGCAGACTCCTGAAACTTGCTGATGAGTCAAAAGAAATATAAGATAAGCAAAATTACTATTCAGCATTGTACTGCTTAGTTTAATGATTTGTTTCCTATTTTTGTCCTATTTTTTTTCTCTCTTTCCATTGCAGTTTTCATGCTTCTTTGAACTGGGACATGATTTTGGGAAATCACAGGGCCCAGGCAGCTGCCCACTTCTGCCTCAGGGTAAATTCATTATTTGGCGATATAGGAGTTACAGTATGGCTCCGCAAGCTGAAGATCCAGCGGGTGAGGAACCTGAATGGTTCATGAGGGAAATGACCCTCACCCTCAGTCCACCCACCCCACCCCTCTCCAAAACCCAGAAACCGGAGGCAGGAGGGGAACAAAACCTCGCGGGACACCTGTGCGGCTGGATACCCCCCCTCCCTTTCTGGGTCTTTGTGATTTTAGATCGAGGCTAAATTCACACCCAGACTGTGGATGAACATGATGGGAAGCGGTGATGATTAAAGACGGGGATGTAGACGCGGAAACAAGCGGCCAAATCTGACTCGATTGACGGTGACGGAGCGGTCGGCGGCGGCACCAGCAGCAGCACCAGCAGCAGCAGCAGCAGCAGCAGCATCAGTCGGTCGGCGGATTGAGATACGTTGTGAAGGCGGAGGGATGATGATGATGATGATGATATAGCAGGTGCTGCAGGGTCGTGCCGCATTGCCTGGCCGCCGCGAGCGACGCCGGGGAGACGGTGATGCTGTCGTCGTCATTGTGCCACAGAGAGAGTGAGAGAGAGAGAGAGAGAGAGAGGGAGAGAGAGAGAGAGAGAGAGAGAGAAAGAGAGGAGAGGCATTGACATGGAGGGAAGCGGCTGTCTGTCGGCGCTGAGCTCAGGCCGCCCGGATCAGCAGGTTAGATGCTCCGCCTGAAGTCCGGAGGACCTGATTCATGATCCGCTTGGTGGGAAAAAATATGTTAAAAGTTGAATTTTTGAAGGTGGAATTGAAATGCTTGTGTGCGTAAAAAGTGAATGGCCCATATGTTGATAATGCATCATAGGAGCATCATAGCAGCAGCGTCTGTGCCAGTTCAGGGTGGATTACGTCTACAGAGCAGCAGGCCTCCATCTGAAGTCAGCTTCTGATCAGGAAACCGTAAAGAAAATCATTTAATACTCCTACCCCCCTGTTGCTGGAGGTAACTATTTATTCAGTTGTTTCACTGGAAGCTGGTGTGGTGTGGTCCCCCGTGGAGGGACAGCTGTTGCAAAAGATGACTCACTTACAGGCTGGCCTCTCTCCAGAGACCCTGGAGAAGGCCAAGGTGGAGCTGAAAGAGAACCCGGAGACTTTACACCAGGACATCCAGGAGGTCCGGGACATGATCATCACCCGGCCGGACATCGGTTTCCTCAGGACAGACGACGCGTTTATCCTCAGATTCCTCCGGGCGAGGAAATTCAACCACTTCGAGGCGTTCCGGCTGCTGGCACAGTATTTTGAGTACCGACAGCAGAACCTGGACATGTTCAAGAACCTGAAAGCCACGGACCCGGGCATCAAGCAGGCTCTGAAGGATGGTTTCCCCGGCGTGCTCTCCAATCTGGACAGATACGGCAGGAAAATACTGGTCCTATTCGCAGCCAACTGGGACCAGAGCAGGTAATAAAGAGGCAGAGGGTTGGGGCTGGTGGTGGTGGTGGTGGTGGTGGTGATGGGGCTGTAAAGTCTGTGTTGAGTTTATCTGATCAGACACACAAAGAGAAACACGGAGACTCAGTGTTTTAGAATCCATTATAATTAAGTGGAGTCTGGTTTATGGAGCTGATCATTCAGCACCACGCAGTCACTGTCACAACTACAGGAAACCAACTCATCTTTCTTCTTCAACCAGCTGTGGAGAAGTAGCAATAACGAAATGAAAAGAATGCACTAAATGGCCAAAAGTATGCAGACACAGATAACGAAAATCTCCCCAAAAAAAATATCCTGTACAACATTGGAGAGACGGTGACAATATAAAACCATGTTTGGTAGAGCTGGCTTTGTGAGGCAAAGGGGCACTGTCATGTTGAAACAGGAAATGACTAATGCATAGTGTTTTTCTCAGTCTTATTACCTTTTTAACTCCTTTAAATGAAACGTTGTGAATCACATGTTGCATATGTCAGTGCCTTGTAAAATACTTCCACCCCAGGCTGAGTTTTCCCCTCTTAAAAACTGTTTTATTTCACATTTTTTAGCTGCCTGAAAAGTTAAAAGTATACAGAATCACAACAAAGGAGCACCGATTCAAGAAACGTCAGAATAAAAGCTTTTTTTGTGTATGGCTATAGAGAACATCTTGTCGTCTTTCCTCCCCTTTACATCAGCTCCAAAACCCTCATGTTTATTTTGTGACCCCTTTGAGCACATGTTGCTGCAAAGTACCTGGTAATTCCTGCCGACATTATGACTAAAAGGTTCAGTATCTCCTTCCAAAATAAAGTGCAGAGAATGAAAAGGATCCCAATTTGTACTAAAAATATCTAGTTACATCCTCCATGTTGATGCTGAGTTCAACCATCTTCATAACTTTGAACTTTTACTTGAACAGACATTTTGCATAGATTTTGCTACACTGTGTTTGCGTTGAAATGTTCCTCCTTCCTGTTTGACTGGAGATACAGGATGAACTGTTAGGTCACTGTTGCAGTGAGTGGATCGGGGCCAGTGTCCAGGCTGAGGTTAAAGGTAGAAGTAGGGCAAGGACGTGATTTAGTTTGGCTTTAATAAGGGATCAGGCCTGTGTGGTGTTTGGGTAACCAGACTTTAATAGAGATTGTTGACCTTTTGTCACATCATAATGCAATTCAGATACATTGGATGATCCGAATAAAGTGTCACTGGGTCTTATTATGGGGAAAACAGTGTTTGTCTGATAAAAATTGAGTTAACAAAACCATAATGAAGCCATGTAGCTCTATCATGACTGTCTTAGAAAATGGAGAATAACACTTATTACAATATACTCTTTGAAAAAAAGAGAGTTTGCAAGTTTTAATCTCTAATAATCATAAATTCGTGTGAATGAATGATTCATTTCTCCTCTCTGAACATTGTTTCATGTTTTAATCGTCATCAATCTTCTCTATATTGTAGAAATACTTGTACAGCTGTTCCATGGTATGTAACATATAGCAGTAAAAGACTCCACTCGTGTTTGCATTTGGACAGAGATGCGTCTGTTCAGTTGCCAATTAAGCAAATCAATAAAAAAAATATATTTATAATCTCTAGAGGGATGCAAGATGTTTTTTGATGGAGAATCAAACCGAGGGAAAACGAGGAGGGAGGCAAGATAATGAGGGCAACAGCAAACAGGAAAAAACATGACTGCTGAATGTGAGAGTGAAGTGTCCGGGGCATCAGCTGGATGAAAACCCACGAGGACACACTGAGGCAGCAGCGCGAGGACTGGTAACACCAGAAGACACATGGTCCCAATTTAAAACACGCAACAGAAACTATACAGATGGAGCATTTTAAATCATTAAATGGGTTAAACAGAAGAGTAGGTGATGTATATAAATGCGTAAGCACCAGGCACCAGACTTTTTACAGGCGTTATAAACATGCAATATTATATAGAGTCAATTTCTTTTCAATATGTGGAGACCATGATTTGGACCTTTTTGTACAGTTAATTAGAGTTTTTAAAAGCAGGTGTAAAAATCTTTTTCTTTTTTTTCTTTTTTTTTTTTTTTACAGGAAATAGTGAGATGTGAAAAAGTGTTTTGTGTTTTAGTAAATGTACTTTGTGTATAATGAGTCACACCGACATTTGCAGGAGTTTGATTTTATGATGATTCTGCGAAACTAGGGCGACTGGGGAAAAATATTAAATAGTTTCTATCTTATCTCTTGCTTCAGTGATGTACACAGCATCTTGTTTGTGTTACACTCCTTTTCCAGTTTGTTTTATTTTATTCTGTTTTATATCTTTTGTCTTCAGATATCTGTGTGTTATTGATGACTCATGGGTTGAATCAGTGTTTTTTGTTTTGTTTTGTTTTTGTGGTTCGTTCCTTCTCCTTGTTTTGTGTAAATTCAGTGTCTCGTGTGTGTGTTGTCTACAACAGAATCAAATCAAAGACCTCTTTATTAATTCAGCATTAAGTTTAAATGACTCTGGTCCATCAGTGAAATCCAAGTTGTTCTGTAATTTTAATTAATGCTCAATTTCAAAATCTAAAAGTAACAGGAAAACACAAAAATGTAGTTTATAGAGCTGAAATGAGCGGTCAGAACCTCTTTTATAATCAATTCATTGTTTATATATTAACTAATTTTTTAAACAATAATACCAAATATTCGGTTGCAACTTTAATCATGTGAGGATTTGATGTCAGAAAATATTTATGGAGGTTGGTCAGACAAAAGAAGCACTTTCAAGACTTCATCTCTTTGGGGCGGCTTTGGGGGTTTTCACATTTTTTTTTTAAATAAACAAAATGAAAAATGCTTTAGCAAGAAAAATAGATCATATTTTTCAGCCTTAATGTTTTCTCCAGTGCCCTGCAGGATAAAAGACCATACATCTTTCTTTCCCAGATACACGTTCGTGGACATACTGAGGGCTATCTTGCTGTCGCTGGAGTCTATGATTGAAGATCCAGAGCTGCAGGTCAACGGCTTCATCCTCATCATCGACTGGAGTAACTTCACCTTCAAGCAGGCGTCCAAACTGACTCCCAGCATGCTGCGGCTGGCCATCGAGGGGCTGCAGGTAAGACGCTCAGCTGTCAGAAGACTTTGTCGGATGTTGTTTGTGTTGATCGATGGTTGGATGCGCGAAGTGTCTGAATTTGATACTGGAAACTGCAGTTTGCATTGTTTTTTAACAACGACCATGGTCTCTCCCGAAGTCTTAAGTAGTTTTAGTTGCCTAAATGTAACCAAACCTCACCCATGGAGGTGGCAGATCAGACAACATGCAAATGAGTCATTATTTGACAAACATATTTCGTCCTTTAGGCACAGTATAATGACTTATTGGTAAAAGAGCACTACCGGTATATAACAGACAGATTAACATACATTTTTCACACTGGAGGTTAGTAATATTAAAGCAGACCAAACAAATATCTACAATATGCGATAGTGTTTTTAGATCGGTTACATTAATTCCTTAAAAATGAATCTGACGACCAGATAATTTTACTAAAACAAAAATGTAAAACATTTGCTGGTTCCAGTGTTTGTTCTCAAATCTGAGACTTTGCTGCTTTTCTCTATTTTGATTGTAAATTTAAGTATAAAATGAATATTTTTGGGTGATGGACTGTTGGTCTATCAAAAAGGTATTTTTTCACAACTGTCTGACATTTTATTGACTGTAAATTAGAACTGAACAATTGATCAACATATTATAAAACTCAATTAAGTGCATTATCCAAATTGTAACAGCTGCAGTTCTTTTGATAAAAGGTCAAATGTGTCACAACACACCATAAATGAAGCATTGTGGTGCTGCAGAGACGCCCGGGCCATGAATCATATTCTCCAGGCTTAAAGGAACATGATTGTTTGGTACAAGACCCAACAAAAATTACATCCCCATCATTTTTTTTTTAATTTTTATGTGAAAATGAAATGCAAAAATGACCATCCCAACTGAAATCCTGAATCCACAATCACAATATTGATTCCTTTTGCATATCATTCAGCCCTACTGTAGATGAATTTAAAATACAATCGACTGATTAATTGATATTGAAAATAACTGTCAGTTTGCAGTCCTGCACTATACACTTCCCCAGCATTACCTCTGCAGGCTGTTCCCCAAACAAATCCAATTTCACGTTTACTGTCGGAGCCGAGGGAAAAGCGAAACCTTAAGCCTTACTCGACTCTGAAGTGCTATTTTTCAGTTACCGTGGCAGTGGCAGAACAAACCTCCAGCTCCCTTCCCGGTCTAAATGTTCCACTTAAGAACGAGTCAAGCGCCATGTTAAAACCGTGAGCTTGTTTAAAGGGAAATAGAAGGGAATAATGACACTTTCACTCTGATTACACAGTGCTGGGTTTCCTTTCTTTGTCAAGCCTCGTTTGGCAGGTAGATGATGCAAATAATAAGTGATTTTTCATGGCTGTCAGTGAAGTTTTTGTGTCGTTCTTGCGTTCTCTAACGAGGGTTGGTTTTTCCAGTTTTTGTCTCACCTGACATATAGAAAGCAGAGTAATGAGAGAAATGTGTCACCACTCACCGGAGTTGCATTTGTGTGTGCAGAAAATCTTTTACGGCATGAACGTGCATTAGCTGTCTCAGTCGTCAGGACACCTCTAACATCATTATTGAAATGATTACAGGAGGTAGAGGCAGACAGAGTGTAGCTGTCCTCTGGTAACCAGCCAAACCCACGAGAAAATGTCTTGCCTGATGGTGTGTGTGTGTGCGTGTGTGTGTTTGTGGACAAGGGGGGGGGGGGGGGGGGGGGGTAACGTTGTTATTGCTTTCTCGACATTCTTGTGAATCCTCTGCCAATTTGCGTTGGGCTTCATTAGTCAAAGTGAAATCTAAGGGGGAGTGTTTCTCGGGGCAAGCGTTGAGTAAGATGCAGCGTGGTCTGAAGAGATTATCTGATGCGCTGATGGATGACAAACCGTCAGAGCTGTAATCTTTACATTTTTATACAGAATTCACCTCCAATATTTTGTGTTACTGAGCTGAGCAAATTTACTAAGAGAGTGAGTGTGAGTATTTTGTTTTACTTTTTTAACTTTGCGTGAAATAGAATTTGCACCAAAGTTGTTGTGGCTTGTTATTAAGTAAAAGGTGCAATACCAAGTGATTCACAGTCGCAAATGAAAGAATATAAGTGAATACCACATAACAAAAACAGCCTGATCTCAGCAGGTTTTAGTCAGCAGAGAAAACTTTATTTTCTTATAAATAAACTGTCATATTAAACATTTTATTAGATGACCTTCTGTTTTTGGCTGTGAAAGAAAATGTTCAGAGAATCTTAAATGCATTTAATGGCCTGTGATGTTCACATGTTGCAATCGGTTGTAATAAAAATAGGCTGGAAGATAGTTTTAATTAATTACAAAGCTACAATGACACGTGTAAACTTCTAATTTCACATGTGTCTGACTTGTAAGTTGCTAATAATTTTGACCACCTTTGTATGACACACTCCTTAGTTTTGGTTAATAAGTAACTATGAATTGTAGATGCCGGCGTCCACACACAAGGAGGAGGTTAAGAGTCGGGTTGACTATGGAAACTCAAGTTGAATGTTTTGGTAAAATGTGTCTTTTGCACACATGACCTTCTAATATTTGTCATCATGTTTACCATTTTTTATGATGAGAGTTTCTAATTTGAATCAAAGTTTTGCCAGTTTTAGACTGGAAAGGTTTTCGTGTAGCTGCTCGTCTCGCCCTAATGTCAGCTCCAGCCCTCTGCGACCCTCTGAAGGATAAGTGGATACAGTTAATGGACGGATCGAGTGGAAGGTTTTATCCGTCTCTGCCCTATTTAAAAAGGTACCCTGTGGGGTTTTCTTGTAAACAAATTGTGCGCATCCTTGAGGTCTAACACACAGATGCCGAATGCATTTCCTACCTCCAAAAACAAGATGATTTCTATCATTTATATTTGTGTTTAGTAGCTGACAGTTTTCTTCTTCCTTGTATATGCAGGTGTGCAAAATAAAACAAAACCAGGACCCACTCATAACTCATAAACCTTGCTCCACATCGACGCTAAAAACATCACACAGGACCTTTAACGTCCGTCCATCAATCCGTTATCCATTTATTCATTGGTGGAGCTTATTGTATTGTATTGGTTTGTGTTAGAATGATTTTTAAGCAACAGCAAAAGGTGAAGTTTTTTTTTTTTTACTGAGAAACATGTAATGACATTTTAATGCTTTCATTTAATTTTTTTTAATTTAATATAATGAAATTAAAACTGTATGTCTTCAGTAGCTGTGTAAGAGAAAATATATGGAGGTTTTTTTTAGGTAACCGCTGAAATAATGAAATGACAGAAACATTTGTAAATGAATGCATGCAAAATAATTCCTCTAATTAATTTCTCTCCTCTTAAGTGTTTTTCTACATAAGCAGGATGGTTTGAAGCTTTTCCCCAACTCCTCCACTTTCTGTAAACATTCGTTTTCTGCTCTGTCAGCGCAGAGTCGAGGTGGTACGTTGGCAGGGGGAAAAATCCTCCTCCTTTTTCAGACCGAGGGAATAACTGTAGACACAGGCCAGTGCATCACTGTGACAAGTCCATATATAACACATTTCTGACGGTTCTCCAGATACAGATTAGCGCTTGAATTATTGATGGGAGCTATTAGCTGAGCCCTGAGTCATTCCCAACTGTGCAACTGCTCACACGAATGGCTGCTCATCATTTGGTGCAGAAAACAAAAAGGGAGATGCATAATAGGGTGATTAGATTTGCTTTTACAAATAAAATGCACAAACCCAGTTACTAAAATCATCATGGCTGTGGCAATAAATTCAGTCTTATTTTCCTCACGGTGCAAAGATACAAAAACAAATTTCAACAAATCCCATGAAAAGTATTGTGTGTGTGTCCGAGGCCTGATGTGTTTAATCCTCTGTGCCGTAGAGCTCCAATGTTGTTCTAAAACTAGTAAAAACACACATGCTGTTGCACTATGTTGCTCCTTTATTAAAATAAACAGGGAGCTGTAGTTTATTTTGAGTCAATCCCACGTAGTTAATCATCAATAGCTCCTGTGTGTGTTAATCCGCCACTGAAAATAGTGCACCAACAAAATGCACTATGTGAGTAATTACTGACACATCGTTACCTCAGCCGAGGAGGTTATGTTTACACCTGTGTGGGTTTATTTGTCTGCAGGATTATGCAAAAAATATGGAACCGATTTGGACCAAACTTGGAGGGAAGGAGGGACGGGGCACGAGCCAGGGAAGAACCATTTCAATTTTGCTGCAGATGCAGGAATTTTTAATAACTTTTCCTAACATTGCGAGATATGGTAGAGAGCTAGAAAAGATATGTAGGTTTCTTTGGCCTTGGCGGTGGTATACATTTCATGGCATTTATGGACAAAAAAGAAAAATATAGACTGACACCAGACTCATACTTTAACATCACATAGAGAAATATATGACATTATTGTGTGAAATAAACTATATCAATCATGAAGATACTTCAACACAGAATTAAATTCTAAACATGGTGGAACATTGTGGTCACAACATCTCACAACTAAAGAAACACATTTATAATTTATTTGACAGCAGGGGCAGTGCAACAACAAACGTATTAATATAGCTACATTATAGTTTTAACCTGAATTGAGAAGCCCAACCAGCTGCAAATTAGTTGTGCACATTACATTTGTTGCATTACTCCTTCCTAAGTAACAGTGTTTATTCGTATTGCAAACACATTGGGCATTTATGTGTCACCATGTGTACATTATGTGAGGACTGTAGGGCACACACACACACACAGATCTGAATGTTGCCAAACAGCCACAGTGAGTCACTGCAGCCTGAGCAGGTCTGGTTATGAGTCTGAAAAGCACTAAGTGTTTAAAAGCAGCTCAGTCACACTCATCTGCAGGGCAGTCGTAGTCATACGCTGTTCCTTCTGCGTGATCGTTGGATGTAGTTTGATGGCTGATTTACACTGAACACATCACTCAGTTAACGTCCGTGTGCATCAGCAACTTCATATCGGCTGCCGCCGTCCTTCTTTCTCTTTTTGTC